TTTTAATTCGGATATAGGTCCCTTTTTTTAACGTTTAGTATTTTTTATTATACTCTTTATTTCGACTCTCCTTAGAGTCATCATGCAATATAGACAATAGAATAAAGAGTATGACACAGATATACTGTATTAGATCGTGATCCTTATGATGACTCTAAAGAAGAGTCGAAATATAAAGTATAATAAATTTAATATAATATATAATATAATATAATATTTAACAAAAAAGGGACCTATAGCCGAATTAAAAAAATATATAAAAAACATTAAAAGAAAATAGGTCGATAAACAAATTCAAAAAATTTTATAGCTTATTAATTAAGTTTTAACTTAATATACAATAATTCGAAAACAAATGTGGACAAGATAATTTTATCAAATGTGGATAAAAGTTTATAATATAAAAAATTGGTCTTTGTATATTTAGAAGTTGCAATAAATTTACTATATATCTTGTAATAATATTATTATGAAGCTTTGTACTAAAATCTATTTCGTACAAAAAATTTAAGTTATAAAATTTTTTTTTTTTGATTTGTTTTTATAAACTGTAAATTTTTCGTGCAGTATGGATGTTAGTACTAAACGTAATTAACAATAAATTTAATACATAATATGATATTCTATTATTGGGATAAGATATTTTATTATTACCTGTTTTTACTCCCAAGCATAAACTCACGTTTCGATATTTATTAAAAAAAAACTATATATGTGTATTATTTAAAAAAAAATCTTTAAAAATACATTGTTTCGTTTCACAAAATTTTATATGCAACACACGTCAATCACTCTAACATACGCCAAATAAAATATTTAATTAATTGAGAAACGTCTTGAATTGCTTTTATTTAATATTATTTATTTATATCAGTTAAGCTTTTTATACTACACGTTTTGCAGAACACTAGAAATTGAGCAAAACACATGAAATACTGAGCTCGAAATCAAAGTTACATTAAGCGCAAGTATAACAGTTCTTAAGCCATAACTAAAAATGTACTGAACACTGAAAACTTTAAAAAAATATTAAAAACTCTCTTTTAATAAAAACTAAAGATAAAACCAAGTGCAACTCATACTCAAGTAAGTTAATGACGAATCAAGCTAATCGTATGACAATGCACTGGAAACTCGTGCACCTCACAAGAGCATCAAAGGGAGATTTGTAACAAAAAGTTTAAAGCTGTAATAGATATTGAGTCCATTTGCTCGAAATTTGCTTCTAAAGTAAGTAGTGCAGTTTCGATGCCACTATTCGGTTGCTAACAATAGTACTGACCGAGCATTATCGATGTACTAATTGAGTTGATAAAGTTGAGGACGGCAGCGGCGAAGACTAAACACAAACACGATAAAATTTTAAAAGATCTAATTTCATTCCACAAACAAGCACTAAAATAAAGAACTTTGAATAATTACAGTCAGTATTCACGGGTTCAGAGAACTTAAATATTATTTTAGATTAACAGTAAACATATAAATAAGAATATATATAATTACACAATACTTACATGCTGAAGCGACATACTAAAATGTTAATGCCTTTTTAATAATAGGTTTCAGTGGAAAAATTATTTAATTTTATTAAATAATATTAACATATTAGAATTTTTGTTTTAAATAAAAAGATAATGCCATAAAAATCTTTTGTTAAAATTACAGTTAAAATAATTAAGTAACTTAGAAAACTTCTTATTCAAATATATTTCAATATATAAAATCCCTGACACAATTTCCCAAATTAAGTCAGACATTCTTAATATGTTATCATTATTCTGAACTTATCAAGAAGCTTTAACTCTTCCTAGGATTTTGGACACCAACGCAGTAGAAAGTACTTAGACTCTTTGGAAAATATACGTTATAATAAATATTTTATTTTTATGAAAGTTCTGGATATGATTATAACTTTATTTTGTAATAAACTTTCTTACCTTGATTATAACTCAACAGTGGCTATAATAACAATTTTATTTCTCACCATTTTGAGGTTAGCTTCAGCTGGTTATAAGAAAGAATAAAATTTAGGGTTGGAGATGATTTATATTATCTTTTAAAACAAAATCTTAAAACAAAGAATTTATTATATTAAAGCAACCAAGTTGAACTTTATACTTTAAAAGAATCACTACTCGAGGAGTATACGCTATATGATTTAAATTATAGAAACTTGAGTGAAACAAAGCACGCTATTCAGATACCATATAATTATAATCTATAATATTGCTACTAGAGTAGCACACTATATAGAGTATGTTCTTCGTTATATGTACAATTTACTATATGTATATGTATTTATGTAAATGGGACTTATATTGTAAAATTATAAGCGGACTAAGTACAACATAAAAATGATTGTACTTATAACAATAAAAATGATTGTATCAATACCACCAGGATGTCTCGGTCAACGATCTAAAACATTCATTCAACATATCGTATCATATACAATTTACTGTGTGACTTAAGAACGATTTTGATTAATATAAATCGGTTTCTCTAGAAAACTTTTTGTTTGCATTTATAAAAAATCATATTTCCTTGGGAAAGTATATATGCACACCTATAGCTAGATTTTATTATATTTTTTTCGAAACTCTTTTCTTTCTTTTTATTATGAAATAGGTCTATGAACACATTGTAGTGTTCAAAAATATAGTGCATCTCTTATTAAATATCTATACATACAGTTTATAACGCAATACTCGTATGCATTTGTAAGGTGACGAATAGAGTTCTGTTCATAGAACGGACTAAACATAAACGTGCCAAAACCTCAGTCATTAAAAAGCAAATTCACATTTTAGCACTGATAAATTTATTTTAAATTCACATAACCTACAACTAAAAAATATATATATAAAACTATTTTGCAACACTTAAATTGCATTCTAAACAAAAGCAACGACACGGCGTAGAAGGGGGTCCTCTCTAAACGAATTTATCGTCAGCGTAAAATGATAATTATAAATAAACGTACATGTAGAATTGTTATTGGTAATTGACTATTAAGTATTATTTTATGATTTTTTAAAGGGGTTTAGTATTTAGCTTATATGATCAAATTAATATTACAGTACTTGACATACATCGACTCAACTCATTTAAATGATAATAGACGCTATTTTGTCACCTAATTTAAGATTTTAAGATCGTATTTCATTTGTTCATATTTAAAAAAAAATGTTTTAAATCTGACTCGATTTTGTTTTGACCGAAAATGTTATTGTAAACATAATATAGTATAAAAAAGTTATATATTGTTATAATTCTTTTAGTAAAATTTTATTAGTCACACATAATTATCATCGTAGCAGTATGATAATATTTTATATATGTATATAAGGAAAGGAATATTGTAAATAAGCATTTCAGATCATAAAAATCGTAAATTTAAAAAAAATTTATCAACATCAGTTACTTAAGTATTCTGAAAATCAACTATTAAAAATGCCATTGTTTTAGAGAGCACTAACTTTGTCGATTATATGAAAATTAGACATATGTAATAATAAATAATTGCACATCCAGTCTCAACTAAGAGATTAAGTATTGTTAGTTTTTCTTATATTATTTAAAATCAGAAATGTGGTACAATCCCCTTCAACATTCATAGATTACAAGAACAATAACAATAGACAATATAGTTCTACTGGTAATAGAAAGTTGTTATATTTAAGGTTACTTACATTTCCCTACAATTCTGGAGACCCTACAACCACGAACTGTATGCAATCTGCGCTGGAGAGACCGCGTATTGCCATTGCATATATGACAGATCGATAGATAACATATATGCTTATACTTAATATCCGAAATTTTTGCAATTGTGTCTATTAATAAAGAAAATTTTTCAATATAAACACGTTGAGTTTATTTATAGTAAATTATAAGTTTCAGATAACTGTTTTACAGTTGTGTAAATAAGCGAATTCAATATCTTCAGAAAACTCTAATAAAAAATATGAAATATTCACGAAACTTCAACCAAAAGTTAAGATTGATCGTTTACCTTAATTTTCATCCAAATTAAATTTGGACCTTTACACCTTGGTTATAAAATATTTCTTACAGATCAAGGTGAACCACTGTCCCTATCAAAATAATACGTTATCGTAATAAAAAGAGGAGTAATTGCCACCAACCCCGGCGTCACTCCCTTAAATTTGATGCATCGACGGCACGTGAATGTGCAGGCAGTCCGAATTCCATAACATATTTGGTTTTTTTTACTAAAAGATATAATAATAGTTATTAGGCGGAACTTCATTGTTAGTTATTTTAGTTGATAGGTTTTTTGTTCTTAGTTTTTATAAGACTTGGAATTACAACAGTTTAGTTTGAAATTTTAACAAAATGATTTTATTTATTTATTTTTCTGAAAATTCTAATCTATAGAATGAGGTTTTACTTAAGTTCAAGTTGTATTATTCAACCGTCCACTTGAACTTTATAATAAAATAATTTATTAACTTCTTCATAAGTCCGTTTAGTCTGCATATATTTAATAGATTTTTAGTGAAGTTGATATATATTAACAATTAAGCATGACTTCTTTCAAGTTTATATTTTGAACATAACTTCCTTTTTATGTTAGGACTTCGTTTTTATTAGTTTTGGACACGTTACAGAAAGTATTAGTTTTATAGATATTTTGATATCTCAACTTTGATATTAGCCTATATACACTTACTGGTCCAGTGTGTTCTTGAGTATATAAGTCAGGTATGGGTACATACCCTTACTTGTTCAGGGTGTTCTCGAGTACATAGGTCAGGTATGTCTCTCCAGAGATGAGTTTAAGTATGTAGAG